GGAGTGCAGAAATTGGTATTATTTGAGAATGCAGCAAGACGTTTTAAAAATAATTGCTTTACCTGCATTAATTTTAATCTTGTTTCTTTATCTAATCGATAATATTTTTTTTTTCTTTTTTTAATTAATACATAATGCGGCACAAGCTTCATAAAATTGGCAAAGTTTTTAGCTTTAGCAGTACAGAACCTTGTGCAAGAGCTCGTCCAGGAAAGTACTGCTACATTACCTATTTCTGCCATCAAACAGTAATGTGAGCATTACTGCGTTTCGGTTTTGAATGGTAAGGGTGGTGGAGAACTTACAAGCATAGGGAACTTTTCAACTTAAGTCTCAGGGTGACGTGACAGTGGCAGTGCCCTTCAGATGTTTGCGATTTAAATATCTAAGCGGCACTACCAACTGTTATAGACTGGCGTGTCGCTTATCCTCAGGCACACGTACTTGTTTGTGTTCGTCCCATCACTTGGCCTCATAAAAAAAACCTTCCTCTACGAGTAGGTATAATACGAGTTAGAGATGTGTCTATAGAAAAATTGTCGGTGGTGGCGACTAATAGTTTTTCGATCAGCGGTGGCGATGTGATAGGCATGACACAACTTTTTCAAGTATTTAAAAAATTAAATTATCCCTTCCTCTCCTTTCCATCAGCGGACCACCCGTGCCGGACTGCGTTGCCACAGTTGGACGGTCAGTTCAATACCGTCCCGCACTAAAAAGTTTGGCAATTCGTTTTTATGCCGAACCATCAAATTGTGGAACCAACTCCCGGCGCATGTATACCCTCCCCTCTATAACATCGGGTCTTCAAACGTAGTGTGAAGAAGCATTTGGCCAGACCGGCAAAATGATAGTGACGGAGTGAAGATATTTGTGTTTTCCATCCGTTACTCTCATCTCTGGACTGTATTCGCACTTTCCATCAGGCGCGGTGCAGTCATTTTGCCGAGTCACAATAAACAAAAAATTAAAAAAAATACTGAAACGTTATTTAGATCAATCTCCGTATTCATTTTCAAAGTTACAAAACTTTGAAAAGGAATTATCACTTGGTGGTATAAAAAAGTCTCTTTACGAAATTATGATTAATATTATTTACTATTATTTATCTTTAACATGATTCTAATATATAAATTGCACTATTTTTCACGTATGTTTGTTTTTTAAACTAACCAACATTTCTGGGCCCTTTATAGGTCCCACGGTCACGCCTGACTATAAATAAAGGCCTGACTATAAGACCTGTAAATTTAGATCCGAAATACAGTTTAGATTCCAATGTGTAACAATCGCGAAAACCTCAGAACTTGATATACCCTAACACATAAAACGATTATATAACTCCTACATAACATGTTACGATATTTTATTAGACGTCCATTTATTTCGAGAATCAAACATGCTTTTGTTTCATATCCCATCACGGATATCACAGGCGAAATTTGATAAAATAGCTTTCAAAAGCAGTTGGCAAGCTTTTTTTATTTAAACACAATATGACACAAAAGTGGGCGTGTTTTATTTATAGCTCGTTTTGATCGCTACACAATTGTGGGGGGCATACACAAAAAACGCTTCATACCATTTCTCTTACAACAAAATGTGACCATTCACTTTGTTTAGGGGTAAAAAAAATGCTGTTGTTCCTGAGGTAATACTGGAATGAAAATACCTACACAACTTTCTAGATCATCCGTTACACTCTTTTGTCTCGTTTTAATAAATCTGTAACTAATGATTATATCACTTTTATATTTGTGACGCGATAAAAGTCTAAAATTTTCGAAAATGATTATGTGTTATTTAAATACATCCACGTCCACTTGGTGTAAAAAAGCTACATCTGCAAAATGACAAATTTTTATGAGAGAAGTTTAAAGATTGTACGAACGAAATTCATCGATAATTTTTGTATGCTTAAAACTAGAGTTATAAAATTTCACATACTTATGCATAATTTGTTTCATGTAACTCATATTATTTTTATGACTTTCAAGTGACTGACAAGTGGCATTATTATTCCGAGGACACGAATTGAGAAACGTTCATCTTTGCAAATACCAGCAAATAATGTAGTTTGTTCATATCGCCATGATTACGTTTTTATAGAAAGTCGAAAAATGTTTTTACCGATCGGAAATTAATTCAGTATCATAGATATAAAATCACTAGCCACCGGACTTTTTCTGTGTGGTTTGACCAGGTTTGTCAGACCACACAATAAGAGTTTTGTGAAATGGTAGTGCTAATAATGACGTTTCATATCAACACATTTGATATAAAAAAATTCCCCATCTTTGCGAGGATCTTATCGTCGAAGTGTAATTGATTTATAAATCATTGTTTACAGAATTATTTTAATGAATCGAGTACTTAGGTTTTCGCGATTGTTACACATAGGAAATGAAACTATTTTTCCGGATTTAAATAGCGTATATTTGTTTTTCAAAGGACTTTACCATCTCAGTCAGACGTGATCATGGGATCTGTAAAGTTAGTTTATTTAATAAAACTAATATACACGATTTAGATCCGAAAAATAGTTTCATTTCCTAAGTAATCAGAAATTCCGTCTTGCATAATTCTCCAGTAAACCAGTTTGTCAAAACCACAATGCCCGTTTTTCATTACGCAAAGTACGCTGTATAAACGTCTTTGGGTGTATTATTTAATAGAGCTGGCTCTTGTGTAGTTAATAATAGCTATTTGCTATGCTTTTGTAGATGTGGGCCCTGAATGGGACCGGTGGTGGGCGCGTCATCTTTCTGTCAAACAAATCGATTCGGGGTTGATAGTGATGTTTTTATCGATAGTTTCTAATCATCGATGATTGGAGATTCATTCAATGTAGTCATCCTTTTAGCGTCAAACTTATGTGGTTATTTAAAAAAATATTTTATTATTTATTTGGATTATTATTAGATATAATTCTTAAGTAAGATCGAAAGTTGTAATGTAATGTAAACTAACTTTTAGCTAGCTTGTTTCTAGTCTTTCTTTCCATTATCCATGATAGCATCATACGGTATTACAACATAATTTACAAAATATTATACCTATTTCAGTGTATTTAAGCGCTAGACAGAAATAACAGATCTCCAGATGTTCAGATATGATACAGAGGATCACACATAGAGCTATACAAACTGTTATATTGATTGTAATGAATATTATGATGTTTTAACCATGACATTCATTTTTTTTAGTGAAATTACTCCACTAGTTTGTTTATTATTTTTTATACAAAGATGGAACGATAAGAACATCCTGCCAGAAAAGAATTTTTCTTTGTAATCGATCTTTGTATTAATAGACATATACAAACTGTCAAAATGTATAACTGATAATTGCATTCTTTTTCATTTGCATAGAGTATAAATTTTTAGTTTAACAAAGTGACTAAATTATGTGCAAACACAATTGCTATATATATTTGATATTTTGAAATTAGAATTTTCTAATTTTACTAACAATTAATAATGGCTTTCCCATTCCTCTATAAGTTAAATACTCGATGAATACTCCACAGCGCAACTCACATCACTAACTTGCATTTCTACGGTTCCCATACATTTTTTGCAATACGCAGGGATTACTAAACAATGACGAGCGTGTACGCAGGCCACACATCATTTCGCAACGAGGAGTCGTTTTTGCCGACATATTTAATAGGATTCCGCAATTTATTGTGAAATGCTTTTATCAATAAAATGCTTTAAACTCATACGTTGTATAAACGGATCGATATATAACTAAGGCTGAGGTTAAAAGATGCGTAAGCGTACGTGTTGTAAAACTTGTCCGATAGTACAGTAAATTAACACTAAATAAAATAAAAATATTATACGTTTTACGTGATAATTTCTCTCTCTTCAATAATTTTTTTATTTTCTGAAAAAAAAATGATGATGATTGATAGATGATTTTTTTTCAATAACTTCATTACCCCTAGGGCCAAACGATTACCATACTGGACTTACACGCGGAGGTCCGGGGTTCGATTACCGGGCCGGCCCGAGAGAAATATTTGTATGGCCTACATTTGTTTCTATTATAGTTTGGGTGTAATTTGTGGTTGTCTATGTGTATGTCCATAGCCCCGTGATGCAGGGTTTCCATAGTGCGCGGCTGTGGATGTGTGCGCGTTATTATTATTATTATTTGGGTTACAACAGCAAAATAAATATATTAGTAAAAACATAAATATTGTATAGTTTTATGTTCCTACTTTTGCACTGTCACATAGAAACAAACTTACACGCACCGACCCCAATACAATGCAGTGTTTTCTAATAAGTCTGATCGGCAATTTTCCTTTTTGTTTAAAATATGTTGTTAATCGGTTTGAAAGTAAAAAAAATAATAGACGACAGTTATTTTGTTCATTCGTTTGTTATAACTCCCTACTATTAGAGGTTTCCCAAATGGTTTTGCGTTCTTCTAAATATCGTTAACTTTAACCTTCCGGTCGCACGCGGTCTCGGGGACCGCAGCGATATTATTTTAGTCATTTTACAAAAACTATAAACCATAGATGATTGAGCGACCTTGATATCCTCGAGAAGATGAGGTACTTCTCCTTAGTAACCCTGTGACATTCGTCGGAAGTGCAAATGTGTCTTTATTTATGTTAGCGGTCTCAGATTCCGCGCGCGACCGGTCGTGTTCCAAAAAAATTCATGGAATGAAATTGAAATCTGGGTATTTCATGTTATTTGTGCTATATTATTTAATAAATTAATGTTAATTGTTGCCTATCTATACAATTCAAATTTTGCTATTGGCGCTCTGATTAGCTTTCCGATGTCTCAAAGGTTGTCTGGAAGAGATCGCTCTTAGCGATAAGTCCGTCTTTGCCCACATTAATTGCTGTCTATGTACTGTTTTTGTGCTTGTGTGTAAGCAAGAAAGTGTATATCTATCTATCTACGTATATTGCAAATTACATTATTTTATGTAATATTATATTCAATTATTTATTATTACACTATTTGTTATAGACAATGAGTTACGATGAATCAGAACGGCTTGCAGAGGCGGCGGAAACTGAAGGTGAAGATGTTAATTATGTCAAACCATTAATACTGATAAGGAGTAGGTTATCGTAGCACAGTCAAGAGCACGTCAAGCTTGACACTTTCTACTTGGACCGTACTTATCGTAAGCGGCATAGAGTTGGATTTAAGTCTTAAGTGTCAAGCTTGACGTGCTCTTGACCCTGTACCTACTCTTAAAAATATTTAGAAGTTTTTTATTTTGTTTTCCTTTTTTATTATATTAGAATTAAAATATTACGTAGAACATCATGAAAAAAAAAACATTTAAAAACAATTGTGCTTTTAGAGTTCCTACAAAATTGTGTAATTATTATTGATAATAATTTTGATTAGTCTTAGTAATAATTATGATGTCTATTTACTATTAAGATAGAAAACATCATCTTGTTTTGTTATTTTCTTGATTTCTAACGTTGTTTTGTGTCATATGTCTAAAATTTTGAATTAAAAATAAGTAAATAATGTTTTTATTTTCATTTTTCATTTATAGACAAAAGACTTATTTTTATTATGTGCTATACAACGTCATGATGATATTCATTTGTCTTCTCAAACTGAACGCACAAAGTTGCGGTCTCACAGACCGCGCGCGACTGCTTATGTTCGGCGCAAGGGTGCGACCACTGGAAGGTTAATAAAATTGAAAAAGTTTTTTATTTACTAAATCTTTATTTAATCAATGTTAAACTATTACTATAATAATAATATAATAAAAATTCATGCTGTGAACAGTTTTTGATTAGTTACAAAAACTTAAAGAAACGCGTTCTGATTTATTTCAATAAAGTTTTAGTAAGGCAGTAAGTACATGTTAAAAGATGTCAATTTATCATTATTATTATTTATTTATTTATTGCAAATTATGTTAGTTACAGGCATTACAATCGGTGTTTGTTATTGTAATGGAAGTTAAGTTGCCATATTGGTCAGCCCGCCAAGCCCCGCAAGCCATACGTCACTTCCACTAACCGCCCTGCGATAGCAGCGCCACCTTGGACCAATCCACCGCCACCAGCTAGCCGTTTGATGGAACTGGATAAGCCATATTGTGTCGTTTGATTAAAAAATTAATAAAATACTTGGTAATCTTTACTTCATCGTCTTATTTGCCGTCCTTCTGTCAAAATGCAAGGCTGCAACGTTGTTGTTTAACGAGAGTGTCTCAATTGACGACACTCGTCAATTGTTTCGAACGCGGGCTAGCAAATCGGAGCGCAGTTGTCACAGTAATGATACGGCAGAATAGTTTTCAAACAAATTAAATGACCTTTCGTCTCTATTTCTGGTTATATACTCGATGTGTACGACAAATCGCGTAGTTGAATGACACATCATTGTGTTTTTTTTCATCGAAAGAAAAAGTAAGGCGCGCACAGTCCATCGTCAAGTTCGAATTTCAAAACCCTTTCCACGCCAGCGTGCAAAAGCTCAGATTTCTAATGAGAAAGAAAGCCTTTTCGAGCTAGTGAGGTGAAAAAGTATATTAGTAAGCGTAAATATACCCCGTTGGGGTGTGGCAAATAATTAGTTGGTACTCTCTAATAATTCACAAAAATAAACATAGATTTTTAAGTACTTTTTAGTAGCAGTAGAGCTCCTTGTGCGTTCCTCCGGAAAGGTACCGCCACCTTACCTATTTCTGCCGCCAAACAGTAATAATGTCAGCATTACTGTGTTCCAGTTTTGAAGGACAAGGGTGCTAGAGAAATTACAGGCATGTGGGACTCGTCAACTTACGTCTCAGGGTGACGGGCGCAGTGGAGGTATCCCTAGGTTTTTGCGATTCAAAGCTCTAAGTGGCACTGCAACTGTTATGGATAGGCATGTAGCTTACCATCAGGCGCACGACTTGCTTGTTCCGTCACTTGATACTATAAAAAAATAAAATAGTCACAAAATTAAAAAGAAATTTACATTATGGAGGTGTTGAAGAGTTCACCACCTCTTTCGCATCATCTTATAGGAGAGTCCATGAAGGCTCTCACGTTACTACAGTAGCACTCAATTATCAAGAGGAACTTTAGTTTGTTTTTGAATCTGTTGGTCATTTGTCTGGTATTTCATTATGAATTAATATACCTCTAGAATTTTAATGGCTACTTTATGTCTAATTCTTATATATTAAATATAAACGTTCTCACTTTGCCTGGTGCATTGTTTTTTTAAATTCTTTCCGTTACGTGAATGGCAAAGTTAAAAACCACACAGCTTAGTCTTGGTGGAATGCAAGTAACGTCGTATAAAAGTGTATAACCATGTGGCAACATGTCATTATTTTACCCTGAACATACTTGTTGGTGTTACATAGAGGTAACTCTACAACTACAATTACTGGATCAATTTAGATCACAACCATCAACGCCGCAATCCAACCGATTAATTAGCTTGACAGTAATTTATAACTAAATTAAACTTACAAACATGTTAACAATAACTTTTATTAAAATTCTAATGAAGTAGTGTCTTTCTGCATCATCGGAGACGTCGAAGAGTGACGTGAAGAGAAATTCCCTTCTAACTAGAAAACTCGCAAACTCGAAAACGCCATTGTAGATTACACAGTACACCACATACCTTATTTCTGTAAAGAATTTGCCAACTAGAAGGCTTTCGCACTTACAAGTTCCAGCGGAGTCACACAGATGGCGCTAACAACCTCGAAATTTAAAAACACTTGACGCCGCCAGTGGAAACATTGTGTAAAAACAAAGTGTTCGTAGAATTCATTTTTTTGAGACATTAAAGTACTTGAACTTAAAGATTCTTAGTTTATTAACCGACTTCAAAAATGGAGGAGGTTCTCAATTCCATTGTATGTTTTTTTTGTATGTATGTTACGCGGTATTTGTGAACCAATTTTCATGATTCTTTTTTTATTGGAAAGAGGGTGCCTCCATAGTGGTCCCATTTAATTTTGAAGAAAATCATCCACATCTAAGGGTGGCTGTTCACACATGAAGATTCATTTTTGTAAATAGCGCCTAAATTTTAGTATAATGAGCAATTATTTTTTTGGTTGTTTTTGCTATTCTTTAATTCCAGACGTTTTTCTCTCTCAATATATTTTGAGTAGTGAGAACCGATTTTTATTATCTCCTGTGTCAAGTCCCGTATAATGGCGAACTAGAGGATGAATTCGGGTTTGCGTACTTTCCGGTAACCGATTTCAATGAAACTTGATAATTATATGTAATTCCACGTACTTTTGAGGTCGGTTTTTTAGTACTCTGTAAGGAGATTATTATGTGTGTGTTCCTTATTAAGACATTTTTATCCTAAAGTATTAAGTAATAGTATTAGTAGGCAGTTATATCTATTTATTTATTTATTATGCATGGGCCATCAACTTAAAAAGACAATAAGTAATCATAAATAATGCAAATAATTAAGGAACTCAAAACACAGCATACAACAAAAAATTTATTCGTGTAAAAAACTACTAAAAAATGTAACTCACAGTTAATTGTGTGTAATAAATATAGTTGCGTTTTTTTTCTATACACTAATTGTTTTTAAAGATGTAAAACATAGCAAAATCGTGTTTATAATAATAAAAATAATTAGGCGAGAGTCTAAAATAAATATAATAATTATTTATTCAGACAACCACATGGTGTGGTCCAATAGTGTTTAGTATCTTACAAACTAACATAAAAAGTGTGTTAGTGACAAAGAAAATAAAATAAAAATACAAGTCAAAATTATCTTTCACTCCCATCCCGATCAAATAGATTCACATGAGACATTGATCAGGATCCACACGAAAGACTTCATTATGGGCAGGTCATATCGGTCAGGTATGATCTGTGGAATAAATACAGCGAAGAAATAAATTTTAAACTACAACATTAATTTAAAATAATTTGTATTTTATGGGAGCCGCAATATATCACAAGTTTAAACATTTTACGGTATAAGTGTTTTGAAAAGCTACGATAAATCGATATACCTAATCAATTAAATTTGCAACCTCGCTCTAATAGCTCAAAAAACGAACGTGTCCAAACGACCTTTGTCCTTGACTATTTGAGTGATGTTTGACCTTGTCCATAAACTGGCAATGTCAAGGTGTTTATGTAAAACAGGTCGCATCAGATGTTATCGCTATCGGATATTTTTGTTTTGTTGACTTCGATACGCGGGAAGGTCTGTGTAATTTTAGACATTTCTAACGTCCTCGGCTTTCCTTTGGACTTCTGCTGCTGTACTTAACCTTCCTCTGATGCCGTACCTAACCTACAACTTTACTGGTTAAGTTTCGTTCAATGTTAAATTGTACAAGGATTATCAAGAGGAAAAGAGAAAAAGATTTGTAAGAGGAAATTTTGTGGAGAAATAAACATCATAATCACTAAAATAATAATAGTAATTACAATGTTTGCTTGAAGTGAAACAATTGACAACACCCGTCAATTGTTTCGAATTCGGGCTGGAAAAACGGAGCGCATTTGTTACAGTAATGATTTAGCAAAATAGATTTCAAATAATTCTAATAATATTTGAATAACGTCACAATAAATGTATAAATGTAAATAATATAATCTCTGTACAGAGTACTAAAAAAACCGACCTCAAAAGTACGTGGAATTACGTCTATTTGCTAAGTTTTATTGAAATATCCCCTAGTTCGCCACTATACAGGACTTGACACTGGAGATAATAAATATAGGTTCTTACTACGACACTCCTCAAAGATATTGAGAAAAAACGCCTTGAATTGGAGAAATAGCAAAATCAACCATTAAAGTAATTGCTCCTAAATTAAAGTTAGGCGCTATTTATAAAAATGAATCTTCATGCGTGAACAGCTACCCTTCGAGGTGGATGAGTTTCTTCAAAATGAAATGGGACTACTATGGAAGTACCCCGTTTCCAACAAAAAAAGAATCATGAAAATCGGTTCACAAATACCGGAGTTATCGCGTAACATACATACAAAAAGAAAAACATACAGTCGAATTGAGAACCTCCTCCTTTTTTGAAGTCGGTTAACAAATTAAATGATATTTCGTCCCTATTTCTGGTTATATACTCGATGACTACAAGACACCAGGCTCTCACCCTTGGGAATGACATATACAATGTTATGGCATTACTAAGAAAATTTATACACTTTAAGAGAAAGTAAAATTTTTGTTTTTTGCACGTAAGGGATGAAGGTTTGTGTGTGTTCTTGTGTGTATTTTTTTCATATTATATAGGCAGCAAACAAGCGCGTTGCCAACCCTATATATGTATATAGTAATCCTATAGATCAATACGGCATTGAGTCACACTATTGGATAAAGCACGGCTTCAGTATCCTCATAATTTAATTTTTGCAACCAGTTTGCCGACTTCTTTTTACATTCGAATTTATTTAATTCAAAGATGTTATTGCCACTGACCTTGTACTTTGCTGATAAAATGATTTATCTACCTCATTTAAAACGAGTTCCTGTAACTCACCATACGATTAATTCACATATTTAAAAGATTGTGTAGTCCTGGTCTAGGCTCCATATAATCATGCATCATCAGGTAGCAATGAACCAATGAAACAACCGCTTTATTATCAATATTTAACTACAAAAACTTTACCGAAGCGTAAGTATTAATAACAGTAATAGAATTGTTCGTTGGGATAATCATAAAGATCAGTAGGCAAATGGACTCGATTGGCACATTGAAACCATTAGAGTGGACGAAATATTTTTGATGCTATTTAATATTTTTGTAATAAAACTTATTTGAGACAAAGTAGAGTAACTGTACAGTTCTAATCCTAAGATTAGCATAGTCATAAGGTTTGTTGTGTTAACAACTTATATGGATTTTGTTGTCTGATAATAAATTCATCATCATCATCATATCGGCCGTTTTGTTATCCCTCTTCCCTCTTCTTCCACTCTTGACGATCTTGTGCCAGACTCATCCAATCCCGACCTCCATGTCGTCGGAAGTCGTCCATCCAGCTCTGCGGTGGTCTTCCACGCCCTCTGATGTCCGCTGT